AGGGCCATAGCCAAACTTTAAGCATGGATGAGGCAAGCATTACGATTGCCCAAGGTGCGAGCTGCAAGAGGGATCTGGGCGCGTGCCTTCAAGAAAAACATTGAAATATGGAAGCTCTAAGACGCTATTTTCAGCATTTTAAAGATATTTCTCCAGAAACATCAATCTCGTTTAATTGGGAATCATTTTTCCCAATTACTCTCTCTAAGATGGATACCTTTGGGACCGGCATTAAGTGTCCGTCTTAGATAGGTGTCCGTCTTATAGAGAGTCAAATAAAGGGAGTAAAGAATGACAGGGACCAACTCTAGGTGTCCGTTTTACAGAGGTGTCCGTTAGGAGAGAGTCGACCGTAAACGTAAATTTTGGGTAAATCTAAACGACGCTTCTTTCTAACTGCGGGCTGGTAATCTTATAACTCCCTTTCCTCCTCTTCCACAGCCTCACCAGTTCCTTCCCCATCTGCGTTGGAGGCTACCTTTTTCATATCTCCGAGCTCTATTTCATTGTCTGTTTGGGTAGCACGGTCCTTGTTGTCAAAACTAGCAAACAAATTCAAAAACCCTGTACAAGCGACAGCCAAATGTTCAATGCTAATGACAGTTCGATGAACGGTACATGTAATACATTTGTACCGTAAATTCACCACAAAAGATACGAACAAAACCGCAAAGAGTATCATGAGAAATTCTTTCTTTTTTTAAAATAACACAAGGTTATTTTCAGCCTAAAACCGGCAGAAAAATAAGAATATTCAGCCTGAGACGGAAAAAAAACTTTCTCATACTGTATAGAAAAAGAGTGTAGCCAAGCAGTGCTGCCTGGCATACTCTGACGCACCTTTCTCGGCACTTGACAGTTCACATTTTGACCAATAGTCCAGTTTCGAATTAAAAATTACCGCTAAATGCAAACATTAACGGCACGTTTATACAGGGTTAGCCTCGACGTAAGGTAAAATATTCCGAAATTCCGGCAAGTAAGTGTTTGAGCTATTTCGAGAGAGGTTGTCGGGAAAAGTGCACGCGACAATCCTGAAAGGCATTGTGGGTGGTTTTGAGGTCTCTTTTTTTCAAAGAAATTTGAAAGAATTGGCGCGAGAGGCCATGGAAATGTGTTTGCATGTGCTAAAGAAAGCAACAAACCTAATTGATCATATCCCATATTACCTTTCGGGATTGTCCCGTGCACAGTTTTTCCGACAACCTTTCTCGAAATAGCTGTATTCACAATAGACAGAGTAATAAACAGGTCTCTTCCTCATTGGAATTTGTGAATATATTACGTCAGATGGAGGCTAAGCCCGTAAAAAAAATGCGTCTTCACTTCTTTAATTCAGCGCTCATAGCGAACATCAAACTGGACTATTCTCAGCTCATCCAGAGACGCTATCTTTAGCATCTTTTTAGAAGATATTTCTCCAGAAAAATCAATCTCGTTCAACTGGGCATTTCTTTTCCAATTAAAGTTTTTTTTTTTCAATTTGGGGTTAAAATCAAGACAAGGCCTTTTTCTAACTACGGCCCTGGGGCCATTAATTGCCTTGCCTCCTCGTTCACAGCTTCAAGCTCTATTTGACTTTGTCTTTGGGTGGCACGATCCTGAGGAGGAGGAGGAGGAGGAGGAGAAGCTGCAGGAGGAGGTCTTTGGTCAGAGGAAGAACCTAGAAAGCCTTTGCCCAATAACCCTATCAGTCCTCCAACAACATAGAAAAGTGCCGTTTTCAATATTTCACCCGTGGTTTCTTTTCCATTAAAAGACTTCCCTGCTACGACCGTTAAAGAAACAACAAGACAGAACCCAACGAAGCTAGCGATACTTGCGCAAAACCTGTGACAAAAGATTTCTTGACTTGCGCTGCAAATCAAATAAATCGTACAGAAGAAGGCAACAATAACAGAGCAGGCCACCGCTAAAACCGTTAAACCCCAGGTCGGATTGACCATTATGCCAACTATCAACCAGCACAAGTGGTAACTAATTATGTTTGCACTTGTAATAAAGACAGCTCTTCTATAAAAAGACGTTTTCCTGCTGCCTTCACAACAAACACAGCAAAGCCTAGGACAGCACTGCACTAAACAAACAGCAGCCCCTTCACAAATTATTAATACAATGTGACTAAAAATTTCCTTGTGATCACACAAAGCATCGCTAATAACAATTATGATTGAGAACTCTGTTATCACCAGAAGATGACATATGTATTTTGCAGGACGCATAAATGGATCCTCTGTTTTATAACATTCAAAAACCCTCTCATTACAGCAGCAACAGCAATCATATTTACATAATATGCTCGTTGGTGACGGTCCTTGTTCTGGTGCTCCATCATGTCCTTGTTCCAGTGTTCCGTCATGTCCTTGTTCTGGTGCTCCATTATGTCTCTTTGCACAGCATTCAAATTTATCTTTTTCCGTTGCACTTGGATCGTTTCCGAAAAAAGTTAAAGAAAAGAAGCCTAGTATTGGACCAATCAATAAAACAGAGAAGAGAGAACAATAAAGAATTGCTCTGATGTAAGAATTAACCCCTGTGGCATCAATGTTTGGTTGGTGTCCCTGTATGACACACTCAGCTGTGTTCAATCTTGGGTCTTGAATCCCTGGACTGATCGCCAGATCTTCCAACTATATGCAGAGCAGAATAAAACGATATTTAATTCGTCACTCAATCGACAGCTTAAAAAAATAAGTATACCTTTAGAAACTGATGCCCAGTAGTGCCAAATGAGGAACGGGGAGAAGAGGGAATAGGGTATGCATAAGGATGGTTAAGGGTTGTTATTCCAAATTTAATATTTTAGCCTTGGATTTAACCAAAAGAGGGGGAAGGGGGTCCAGGCAGGAAATGTTCTCGTCTTCAACGTCACTGTAGCACTAGCTGTTATTATTATACATTATTATTATTTTGAAAAATATTGTTAATAGTAAGGGCACCTTAGCTTGTAATTATTACCTTTTTCCAAAGAGAAAGAAAGACATTTTGTAATTTCATAGAGCATAGAAATGGCCTAGTAACTTGGTAATCTCATCCTCGGTTCTAAATCTTAAAAAAATGCCCGTTATAACGTCAGGTGCTCGTATTAAAGGAGTCGTGTCTCGAAAGTTAACCAAATGCAGACATTGGAAACTCTAGCCTGCGTTACAGCCGGCCCACCGGCACGTATCGCGTAAATCATTGTTATAGTCGGTCTGCGACTGACTTAGTTTACAGAAGCTTGTTCGGATATCCAGCAGAGTTGCAAGGACATATGTGAGCGTTTCTGATAGGCGGGTTTCTGAAAACTTTTTAACGCGCCTCACGATTGGTCCAATTCTTACGCGTGCGTGACGGTTGGGCATAGACATGTCAACAGAAGGAAGTTGGCAAATTAAGCCAAAGAGTTTTTACAGTAAACAATGAAAGAGCAGTTCAAACTTGAAAGCCTTCTTTCTGAAGAAAAAAAGTGCATTGAGAGTATTCATTCAAGGCCCGAATATGTGTTTGTAAATGAACGAAACTACATGGAATCACATTCCCAAGATGAGTAAGAAAAAGAAAGGAAAAGTATCAGATGATCCTCGAGTTATGCACGCAAGGAAAGATCTGCAAAAACAGTATGGACTCTACCAATAGAATCCAAACGAAAACCGAGGCGAGAAACTAAAAGCTAGCAAAGAAATGCTGGAAAAAGTGTACCTTGGTATAACTGACAAAGAACTCAACGAAGTCATTGACAAAATAGTATCCAGTGACAACAAACATAATCGGCATATATAAAGCAAGTTGGAATATCGTAAACGAAATGTCTGGACAAACATGCAAACATGCTTCCCATGAACCTTGACGAGCCAGTCCAGTGGTCAGAGAGCAATCTGGTTCCCATACCGAAAAGCGGTAATCTTAGCCAAGTTAGCAACTACATGGAAATAAGTCTATCCCAGATAATGCTCAAAGTCGTCAACAGAATGATATCAAATCGCATTCAGCTTATTCTAGTCCCGTTGCTACGAACAAACCAGAATGGTTTCAGGCCTGGTAGATCCAGCACAAATCCTGACACTAAGAAGAATTATTGAAGCTATCAGAGCCAGAAATTTGGCAGCAGTAATTACATTCATCGACTTCAGATAAGCCTTCGATTCTATCAACAGGAGAAAGATGCTTCAGATTCTCAAGGCCCATGGCATCCCCACACGGTGGGTGCACGCTATTGGTAAAACCTAAGAGGAAACACGGGCTAATATCCTCTCCCCTGACGGTGAAACCGAATTCTTAAAAACCAGCACAGACGTGCTACAAGGAGACACACTAGCCCCTTACTTGTTCATAATAGTTCTGCACTATGTACTACGAGAGGCTATCGAGGGTCACCAGGAGAGATTTGGACTAACTATCAAGCCTAGACAAGGACGCAGAGTTAAAGCCGAAAATGCCACCGATCTAATCTTTGCAAACGATATAGCTCTTTTTAGTGATCAGTTCCAACAAGCGCAAGACCTATTCAGAAGTATTGAAGAAGCGTCGGCCCAGGTTGGTCTTCTACCAAATGCAAAAACATCATGTTGACCTTGGGCTCAAAACACGAGACAACGAAATTGAACCTGTTGAGAACTTCCAGTATATGGGTTCATGCATGGATCAGTGACTCAGGACATGACTTCAACATCAGAAAGGCTTCAGCTTGGATAGCTTGCAACAAAATGAGAAAAGTGTGGGCCTCAAAGATGGCAAGAGGAACAAAGATGAGACGGTTTAGAGTAACTGTGGATTCTGTCTTACTCTATGGAAGTGAAACGTGGACCGTGACGACGAAGCTGGAGAAAAGTGTCAATGGATGCTACACCAGAATGCTGCGAACGGCCCTGAATGTACAATGGCAACAACATATGAACAACCAGGAGCTATACGGAAGCCTCCCAAGAGTTAGTGAAAAAATCCGTGTGAGAAGATTAAGATTAGCTGGCCATTGTGCACGTCACAATGAAGAGATTGCTTCAAAAGCGCTGCTTTGGGAACCCCAACATGGTCACCCAAATCGAGGTAGACGTAGAACTACATACATTGACACTATCAAGGCTGATACTATACTGGACAATACCAAAGAGATAAGAGATGCAATGCTCGATCAGGTCGTGTGGAAAGATTTTATTAGGACGGCTCGGGATGATTCCCGACTTAAGTAAGTAAGTAAGTGACCATTAACCTACTTCCGGTTTAATTCTTACACAGTTTAATTTATAGTAACATCGGATTAAATTTCAGTCACTCAGAAAAGCCCTCTTCGGGCCTGAACTCTCGACGGTGGTTTCTATCGAGGGTGGTAAAGGGTATTCACATGACTCGTCATCGGCCCTTTTTTTCCCTTGTGAAAGGTGAAATAGCTAATTTTCCTCGTGAATCGTTATTTTCATAGGTAGGTAAGGTAGGTCTGGGTAATCTTAATTTATGCACGGTTTTACAAATTCATCAGGCATGAAATATTATAGAAAATTCAAAACCTTAATTACATTTACTCGGTTCCGCTAAATACTGTATTGAAATTATTAGTATATACAAAAATAAAAGAGCCTGTTTGCCATGAATGCCGTGCCTTACTTGATATTATAATAACTGTGCAAAAGTAGTGATTTAAAATTACGTAGGAATTCTACTTGCCTTAAAGTTTGAGGAAGACTATTGCACAGAACAGCACCACCGTATAGCGAAAACTATTACGGGGATAATTTGTGCGTGGCTGTGGAATAGTTAATTTGCTATGGAATAGTTACTTGTATTCGTGAAGCGCGATTTTGCATAATTAGTTTCCGTGAAACAAGAAATAAATGACTGTTTAATTCGTTTATTCCCGTAAAACGTCATCTAGACAACCCCCCCCCCCCTTACCCACCCGCCCGCCCCCTTCTTTACCACTATCTGTGTTGTACGGGGCATCCCCCCTAGTATTGTACTTTAAATAGGCTACTTACTTCAGCTAATGCCCTGGTTAGCATTTCATCAATGACCATTTTTCTACCTTCACTGCTTTCTGAAACATTGCAGCAAAACTGGGGAATATGTATGATGAGCTCCTGAGTCCGAGGAGTTACAAGAATGGAACCAAGAGATAAAAATTCAAGAACAGCAGCAGGAACAGAGACAAACAGACAAGACATACTCCATGTGTACACAGCTGGTTTAATAGAAGCATCTGTTTTATGTGACCCAAACACACTAACAAGTACACGGACTGAAGCTGGCTTTGACCTTCCAGGGTACAAGGCATGTGAGATATTGAAATTGTTTTCAGCCTTTGCTAAACTCTTGTACACTTGCTCATAGCTGTGACTGCACCACGCTGTATTGACACAGGTATTGATGATATCAGCATCAGAATTGGGATTCTGCTCACCAAAACTCATCATGGCATGAAGGAAAAGAAAGATAATAACTCCTTTAACATGTCCATAGCACATGGTTATGTTTTGTGTTTTTCTGTAGTGGACACAAAACTGTCTTATAAGGTACTTCCTACAACAAAAGACAAAAATCAATAAATTGAACATTCAATGCTGCATTCTTTTGTGAACTTTAACCCAGCTTATACATTTTTTACTTTTACTAGTAGACATTGCAGTGTGTGTGTGGGTGTTGATTTGGAGAGGGGATACTGAGATAATTCTAGCACCAGAAATAGACTACTCATATAGGTAGGTTAAATATGATCATCCAGCGAAGCATGCCGGCACAGGACTGTTGTTGACATTCCTGTTTAGTCAACAGCCCTTTATTCAGTAGTACACTTAACCAGAAAACCATTTTTCAGCTTATTATGTGCGACAATATTTACACCTAAGTTCAAACCATTTCGAAGAAATAGTATAACTATTGATTTGGTGATTTCTCATTGGTTTCAAAATTTAATATGTGAGCTAGCAATTTTAGGACTCTCACATGCTGCTATGTTAAAACTTTTCTGATGGTTCTTTTCCCTGAGTCACATTTTTCTCAAAACTTGGCAGTATAATGGCTTTTGTTTTCTCAGAGTCCATTAGTCAACTTGGTACTACATGCCTTGTTGACTATTAACTCATAGAAAACAAGAGCATGTAGTCTAATTGTTTAAATAACAAAAAAAAATCCTGTGGGGTGCAAACCTCAAATTATGCAAGAGTATAGCAGAAATCAGGGAACAGTATGTTATAAGTTGCAAATTTATGTAAGGGTCACATGTGGGCCTGTTGCCCCCTCCCCAACAACCCCACCCTTACTTAAAAGGCTAAATCCATCATAGGTTGTATAAAGCAAAAGTCTGTTCGAGGCTCTCAGTTGATCAGGATGAGCAAACAGAATTAAGCAAGAGCAAGCAAAGAAAAAGAGTGAGGACTGGGGAGGGACACTTGCCTCCTGTTTCCCATTCTCTCAAGTTTTCCCCCACTTGTTAATTTCCTCTTACTCATCCTGACTAACTTAGAGACTGAAACACGCTAGGAGCAAAATGGGAGTGATACTCATTTTTGCTCTTTTTGCTTTTTTTAATTGCCTTGTTTGCTTGATTAACACTTCTTGAACATAAATTAGGGGATCGGCAGCCACTTTATATACACGTTTAAAAGCTACTCCTGTCAGTAGTCATACTCAGTGTTACTTGGTAGTTATCTGGTTATATGTTGTGATATGCAATATGGCATATGTCTATGCATATTAACTAATTAAATACCCACACATTTTATACGTAGCAAGGATTTCAATAAAATAATGTATTCTAGTTGCACTATTTACTCCTGCCTTGGTTCTATAGAAGACTTAAGTCCAAATATTGACCAACAAGACCCCCATTAATATTATAGGGGTTTCATTGGGCAGTGGACAGTGCGATGCAGCGGCTTATTTTTGGAAAGTATAAATTATAATTATTACACTTTTTTCTCGCTTGAGTATATACCTGTCCAATCCAGTAGAAAGGGATTGAGAGATGTATGATTTTCTTAGTCCTGAACAGCCTTGAGTAGTGACTATAAAAATAAACTTCATGTAAGAATGGTATTTTTGTCACAAAAGTCTGTTTGCAAGGTATAGTAGTAGTTTATGAAATAAGTTTTGTGCTTACATCAAAAAAATTGGATACTGTTTTAAAGTCGGGGTTGTACAGTAACTTCTGCACCATTATGAATAATTGGCAAGTTAGCCTTTTGAAACAATAATTATTAAAAAACAAGTGGCATTATATTTTTAAGTGGGACATAATCCACAACGCACCCCCTTCCTCTAGCTCTGTCCCAAAAATCTTGCACGAAAGTATTATGACTAATTTGATCTAGTCGGTCGTTGTAATGCTTATAAATGGTGACAAGGTCAACTTTTGGTGTTTTAAATATAACTGTTGTATGGCAGTTTTAATTTTCTGTCTCCTAAAACTAGCAATTGAAAGCAAATTAAGTTATGGCTGTGCTTGTTTCTGTCCGATGTGCATTTAAATCTTTCTGACTGTGAATAAAATTATGTATCTACTTGATGGGGTGATCTACAAATAGCACAATCCCTTCTTGTAAGGAAATGGAACTCCTTGCCATTTGAATTTTTTGAATTTTTTTTGGTTAAATTCCTTGGTATTTTGGCAGTTTAGATGGTCAAATGCCTCACTGGTTCAAAAAGCGTCAATTCCACCAGGTACGAAAGTGTCTATAATTTCGAAACTTTTCCCATGCATCAAACCATTTATTCACATGGAAACCTTTGTTATGGTATACTATTTTTGGCTCATATTTTACATCATAGCCCAGATCTGTCATGTATTGCCATATTTGGTATTTTAGACAAGTTGTGTGAGAATACATGTGCTATTGTTCACACATGTTTACCAGAAATAGCCCACTAAACATAGCCAAAATATCTAAAGTCTCTGAAGCTGTCTTACGAAGGTTTGTTTGTTTGCTGCGGGGAGGGGGGGAACTTAGTAAATGCCCAGCAAAAGAAAAAACAAAGTGCGTGGAGTAAGAAAAGTGAAAGAAGGGGGGAGGAGAGAAGGCGAAAAGTAACAGTCAAGACTGCTGTGTCACTTTAAACTCAGTGAAGCTCTCTTTGGGTATGAACATTCTGACAAGCAACATGGCCTTGAAACAGCCACATAGGACAACAGAAATGACAACAAACCACAGAAAAATGGGTTGAAACTGTGACAGCGACAGAGAAAAGTGAAATTAGAATAGTAAAATATACTAACAATGACATAGCTTCCTCCTAAAACAACAGGTTTTGAAAAATTCAGACTAGAGACATACCTACCTCCTTAAGAGGGCCTCCTCACTCCCTTTTAAATCTTAAAATTTTGCTTTCAAATTCTGCGCATGCCTGAACTTTACAGTCTAGTCCAGTCAAATTGTGGTTTGACATCAAAGTAACTGCAACATTTTTTTCAATGCTATTTAATTGTTGCATGGCTACTTAACAACATACCAAAAATCCACCAAAATCCGTTTGGTGAAATAATTGGCAATAAAGATTTTCAACTTTCACTACAGGAAACCCAGTTTCAAGAAAATGACAAATTAAATTCAGCAAAAGATTTGAGAGTAGTATTTTTTTCTTAAGAATCTTATATACAACATCGCTAATGTGTTTTGGGTAGTTTTGTTTTAAAAAAAATGCCAAATAAAAGTGTGACAAACACCTGGGTTAGTGTTTCATCTTGACAACTTTGCACAGGTTACACAGCCACACATCTGTCTTCACATTCTGTTTTCCAAGCTTGAAGTTTTTTCCATGATGGTATTTGAAAGGGAAATTATTAGACAGTCACTGCTAACATGTTTAAAAATATGAATAATAATTATTTATATTTTTAACCATGTTAACACAGGCTTTCCATTTTTGTTATACTTTATTTGTATACTTGTTTTGCTCAATAGCAGAAATGAAGTGTGTACTTGAGCAGCTTTAATAGCTTGTATTTAAAATATGACATCAAACTGTTCACCATCAGTCTGTTACTCAATTTCCATCCATGATGCAGGATGTGTGCGACTAAATGTTTGCAATGGACAGTGGCTTATACATGTTGAACAAATAGCCTACAAAATGCAGTTTATATGATGTTTTTAAAAACACATGCACAGTCGAATTACTATTGGCATGATCACTGTGGGACCATGGGAGCAGTTGATTAATACCATTCAAGATGGGCAGGTATTCTGAAGTTGCTCCTTAATAACACTAAGTTTCTTAGCGGTGTGCAACAACTTGCAGACTGGCCGGTATATGGTAACGAGGTGAACAATGAACTGAAATGCTCTTAACAGTCGGTAGATTCCCCATCCCCATCTCGAAGCCTTGTTTTAGGGATAGGGAATCTGTTAGAGCATTTCAAAACAATGTTTACCTCGTTTACCGGCCAGTCTGCAAGTCTGAAGTCTGCGTTTGTCGCACACCGGTTTCTGAGAGCGCTTTTAAACACCGGCCGACAGTAGTTAGGGAGAGCGTTAAAATTCGGATTCAGAAATGCGGAATCCAAGAAATAGTTCACGGACAAAGCTCTTTTTTGTTTCCACAGGTTTTCCCCCGGACACTGCCTTATCTCCAGAGCTAGATGAAAAACACCTCGCAAAGATATTGACTTACCTCAATGAACACCTGGTATTTGAGTCTATTCGTCGACCATCCACAGAATTAATGACACCTTTATAAAAAATGCTCGAGGCCCAGTTTGCGGGCAGAGGATCGCGGGCTCGCAGCTCTGAATTTCATAAGCTTTGCAAGCCGCCTGTCTCGCAAGCCTGAAGCTTGCGGAAATAGGAACGGGAAAGTTTTAAAACCAGTACTGTCATGGGGAGTAGAGCAAAAAAAGCTTTTCAAACGACATTTGGATCAGATCCAGATGAGAAGGAAAGTGGACAGGATAGCACCTCCAAAAATGGTAACGTATTCGAAGATTCTCGCGTATTATGCGTCGATCAAAATCTTAATTTGAAGCTTCTATTCAAACAGGCAATCAGAGTTTAACGTTACTTTCAGAAGGCGCTTTTCCTCCCTGCGCTGAAATGAAGCTCTGAAATTCAAGTTGAACAGACACTTTGTCAAGAGATAAGTTTGTAACATCTGCTATAAAACTTGATCTCATACGGCATGATCATGAATTTGCTGAGTCACATTCAAATCAGCAATCCTCAAGAACAAAAGAATAGGCGCCTTTTTGCAATAGTTGGTCACGAGATCAACTTTCTGTAAACACAAAAAAATAGCTCGCTTTTGGAAAAGTTTGTTAGAAGGAACTGAAAGAGCATATTCAATTTTGGTAACCTGTAAAGAGGGGGACATGGGGGTTTACGGTATTGCGGTATTGGGCTTTTTTTCATGAGGTATTTTGGTAATTTTAATTTAAAGTGCGGTATTGCGCATCATCTAGCTCTGCGGTATGCGGTTTTTCATCATTTTGGCTGACGGTATTCGGTGAAATAAGATTGTTCACGGTATTACGGTACCGTTTATTTGCACTTTCTTTTCGAAACAATACGCATAACAAAACACAGTAGGACATAAAGGTCAATAAAAGTTAATATTTGGAAGTCTTGAGACATAACGGTAAATGATTACACCAATTGTGGGTCATTTTGGGCGCTTTCCATTTAGTCAAAATTTCCGGAATTTCCGGTTCGGCGGTAAATGGAACACGTTTTTCCCAGAAAAAGTGGAAAATCTGGGCGCTTTCCATTTAGCCAAAATTTCCGGAATTTCTGGTTCGGCGGTAAGTGCAACACGTTTCGTCGGCTCGTCCCACTGGAAAATTCCCAGAAAAAGTGGAAAATCTAAACAGGTGTGCCCGTTTTCCCGGTTGGAATTTCCGAACGGAATGTCGTGTTCCATTTACGTTGCACCGCGACGTACCGGGGTTTAAGACCAAATGGAACAACTTTTTACTAATCGGAATTTCCACTTTTGCTCCCACCGAAATTTCCGGGTTTTTTTCCTAAATGGAAAGCGCCCTTTGTGACAGTTAATCGTCAAGCATTGATAATATACAATGTGATTGTTGTTGCATCTAATGACAATGAGTCGTCTCAAGTTACCTTACCACGCTTTTCGATCTGTGCACCTGTGCCGGCAATTCGAGCTCTTACACGTTTTGTCACCATGGCTGAGGTTGCTGAGGTTGAAGACGGCGTGGTCATCATTGACTGTGTGGTAATTTTTAATGAAGAGGGCGAAGGAGGCGAACACTATCGCAAGAAGAATAAGTTTAGATGTCGGGTTAAGAGAATTGAAAAACGCCTTGTAAAGTTAAAAGAGAAAATTTGGTAAGTTTGGCTCTTACCGGCGCGGCGTGTAAGACAGTCGAGATAGTTGACCCGTGAGATACTGACGTGCTAGACTAGACTCACTTATCATAGCCTGCAGTGCAGGCGTTTTCTTCGGGCGCGCGAATGTTTTGCTCGCGAAAGCGTATGTTGAAACTCGAAAATGGGCCTCCCCTCTTTTCTTCTTTCGCCCTAGCACCTACCCTTAGGGTTACTATTTTTACTCTCCTTAATCATCCTCCGTCATAACAAAGATAGCGGTTACAACAGCACGAACATAAACAAGCAGCTTTCGCCCGCCCAAAATACGCCTGCATTGCAAGCTACACTTATCAAAACTCGCACTAGACGTGCGTGGAAAGGGTTTTGGTTTGTTTGTTTTTTGTTTTTGTTTTCGCGCTTCAATATTTTTTTTTTTTATTGGAGTTAATTAGCTGCTGGGTCGACCTACCAAAAGGTTGAACGAATTTAGTTTACTTTTCAGTAAAAATCTGCGAAAAATTTGCGAACTACCGAAATATATATATAAAAAACATGGACAGCTGGTGAATAAATGCCTGAGATAGTTAAACGCGCTAGATGGAAGCAACCATAAGTATGCGGAACCGATTATAAATGTGATTAAAATATGCGGTATCGGTATTTGGACGATTTTGAACGCGGTATTTCGGTATTTGCCATTTTTTGTTACGGTATTGCGGTATTGGGTACCCCCAATGTCCCATTCTGTAATTTTTCAGACGTATGTCTAAAAAGTAGCGATTGCAACGGCCGCTGAAACTTTACTGTAGTTAGAAAGATTTGTTTGACGTCAACTCTTGCTACCCAATCACACTTGAGTGGCCTTCCATACAAATCCTTGTAAATTTTGAAATTTTTTGACTCTCGTTAAATATTTCCCTTACGCATTTAAGGGCTCAAATTGCCTGTTATGACTAAAAAGGAGATTTGAGTCCCGTAATGCTTGAAGAAATATTTCACGACAGTTTGAAAATTTCGACATTTACAAGGATTTGTATGGAAAACCACTTAAGCGTGACTATGTGGCAAGAGAGTATAATAAGTAGTGTGAAATGTTTGTGTGAAAGTTATAATATAATACAATAAATGTCATTTAGCTAGGGTTATCTCTTCAGCATAAAATGCTGCTATCAATGAGGGCCCTGGAAAAAAAAATTTACAGGATATGGATTTGGAGCCTAATTTAAAGTAACTAAAAATGCGTTAAAAGTTAAAAATATACAACAATATTTAAAAAATCACTTTAAAAAAGCTAAAATGCAACAATTAAAATACACTTAAATTAAAGCTAAATTGATAAAAACTTAACAAGTAAATAACAAGCTTTTGATCTATATAATTCCAAAATACGAGTTTTAAAAATCACAACTAACTTAAAATCCTTCATTTCACTTGGAATATTATTAGAAAGTTTCGATCCATTAAAATAAAAAGACTTCCTTGCCGTCTCAGTTCTGACTTTGGGGAGGAACAAGTTCTGCTGCTTCTCGTGTTGTGGATTGTTCTGAAAACCTTAAAATAATCTTCAAAAAACATTGCAGGGGATCCCTTTAAGCATTTAAAAGTTAAATTAATAGTATGCATGTCACGCTTCATAGAAAAGGGAAGCCACTTTAGTCTTCTCGGCGTCTGAATCTGTGGTCTTCGAAACAATCTTTGCCGCCCTTCTCTGTGCTCGATCTAACTTATCATGTTCCATGCAACATCACAATAATCCATAACCGGCAAAATAAGAGACTGATAAACTTTATTGGCTGCATCGACAGTTAGATTGTTTCTAATTCTTCCGAGGACACCGATTCTTTTGGAAATATTGACCAGTAGCTTATCCACGTGTTGTTTGAAATTAACTTTTTATCTATTAGCATACCAAGGTATTTGTTCTCGCGGAGCGAGCGGCCGTTGGGCCGCGAGCGAAGCGAGTTTATAATTTTGTCGCGGTTCACGCGAGGTTCGCAAGCGGAGTGCGATTTCGGTTTGGCATAAATCTTTCTATCGGTTTGTTATCCGCAGTTGCCTAGGAACAAGCCATAAACAAATCCTAAAGACACCATTCAGCATGACATAATCGTACATTTTGGGTTTTCAGGTAATACGGCCACCGACTAGGGCTTATTTTATTCATCCTTTGTTTACTGTACGTTGGCGAATCGCCTAGCGAATCGCAAAATATTTCTGAGTACAAATAACAGCGGGCTGCAAACACAACAGTGCCCGATTGCCCGACCTGAACTTCAGCGAGATCAGCGAAGAAGAAGATCGACCACTGCGTTCATCGAGCAGCCTACAATAAAGTGAATAAACACGGAAATAATGCGAAATCGTATTGAAATACTCGTTTAAGTTATTTTTTCCCACATATATCTTTGAATTCATGATCAATACAGCTTCACAAGGTTCAAACAGTGTGAATGGCAAAGAATAATAAGTTAAGGCTATTAAATTTGACAATTATATCGTATAGTGGTCGCATGGCTCAGTGGTATGAGGTCTTACCTATTGCGCTGGAGGAAGTTGGGTTGCAGGTTTATATCACGGCGGGGCTGCTTCCAGTTTTTTTGTTTTGTTTTTTTTTTTGCTTTTTTCTTTCATCGTATTTTTACCCTTTGGCTTGTTTGACTTATTATGGCTGTCAGCGGAGCTGAGATGCTGGGAGCCGCATCCGTTAGTAGACGGGCTGGAATTCCGTCAAGCCCTGTACCTTTCGATGTTTTAAGCAGACTAAGTTGACGATGTACAAATGCAGCTGATAGCGGTTTCAAAGAGAACAAAGATTGACTTAAATTAAAATTCAAACATGCTTCGGTGCTGAGTTGGTTCCTGTTAAGAGGTGGAATGCTAAAAAGCAATTTCCCCACAACATTTGTAAAATCAGTGCAAAAACCGTTTGCAATAGTGAGGGCATCCGTGGTTGTTTTTCCATCTACTGTGATAGGATCAATAGAAGATGACGGTTGAGATGTAACCGATTTGTTGGGAAGGACTTTCTTAACAGCTTCCCAGTTGTTTTTCCCATACAAATCTTTCTAAGTTTCGGCGGCCGTTGCAATCATATCGCTACTTTTAAGATATACGGCTGAAAATTTACAGGTTACCTAATTTTAATATGCTCTTTCAGTTCCAGCCAATTACGGGTGGACCATTAAAAAAGTAATTGGGGGGTGGAGCAAAAGTCAAAAAAAAATTTTTCCCCAGGAAATTATTAAAAAAAAAATATTCCTTCGGATTTGGCCAAAAAAAATATGCCCAAGGAGGATCTGTGCAGGTAAGACTATTACAGATCAACTATGAAGTGAATGATAAGTCCAGGTTTGAAATAAAACGTGTGTTTTTCATAATCTCATCATGACCCATGAGTAAATATTGTTAAGGACTACCTTGATTGATACAGTTGTAGGCCAGACACTGAAATTGAAAATTTAACATTTTACATGTATTGCAGTCAAACTTCCCGTAAGCGACCACCCAAAATGCAAAGACTGAGTGGTCGGTTACAAGAATAGAACCACAGGAGGCCTTTTCCGAGAAGAGGTCCGGCACATCTACTTTATGGAAGATAATTTATTGCATACAATGTCTAAGTTAGGATCTGTGTAGTTCCATGCCGTCATGAAAGTTCTTCGTATATTCTTAGTTGCATAGTGCACACAGCGAACATAGAGATCAGAGAATGAGTAAAGTGGTCGCTTACAAGAGGTTTAAAACAATGGAAAACCATTAATCTTCAGGCCCAAAAGGTGGTCGCGGTCGCTTACAGGAGGTGGTCGTTTACTAGAGGTTCCAACTGTAAGGCTTTGACTGGGAAAAATTTGCTGTTTTGGATTGGCGGTCGCTTATGGGAGGTGGTCGCTTACGAGAGGTGGTCGCACATGGAGGTTCGACTGTATTCACAAATCTTTACTGACCAAACAACTAGGAACTTTTTGTAATAAAAGTTATCCTGTGTATTAATACATATTCACAAACCTCTTTGCAGTGAAGATATGTGCTTTCCACAACAACAATTAGTATTACACTGACTTGATTGTACGGTTTATTATAGATTTAATATGTGTTGCTAGTGATCAGTTCCTTCGAACCCGACAAAGACTATTGTTGTAATACATCTTTGGCTTCATCACGTCAAAGGAACCTCACCTACTTTCTAGTCTACTTGTGAATTTAATTGACGTATTAAATTCCTGTTATTATTCAGTATAAATGTGACATATGAAACATTTGAAAGTTTCACCAACTGAAAAAAAAAAATCCAGCCATCGGGTAAAAAAAAAAGAAGATTTCCACCTTACATGTACAAAAAAATCTTGCATCTTAAAATCCCCACCCCATCAATTTTCTAATGGTCCATCCCTTAAGGCCGGTGGTTGACGTACAAATCTTCTTATCTTAATATTTATTACACGTATTAAAAATGTCTACATGAGTCAATTAGGAAGCCTCCTTTTTAATTTGAAACCGTTTCGTAAGAGTTTTCAAATGTTGCATCATTAATTACAACTGCTAGGTTGCTCCGTTGTTAATTTGTGACGAATTGTGTTTCATACCGTTTTCGGTTTTAACGCGACGGCTACGAGACTTTGAAGAAACCTGCAGCCATCGACGTGCATCACTGAAAACATTCGATGAAGTTGGTGATTTTTTTTTTTGGCGAAATGAAAAGTAAAGTGGACCCAATGTTTCAAGAAAATCGCGGTGCCGAGTGAAAAATCGGGCTGCTAGTTTTGGCTTATAATTGTGGTATGAAGTTTTATTGATAAAATTATCCCATATACGTTTTACGTTTTAGAGAAATTGATGGAGCAGAAGTCCCAAACTACTCCGTCTTCCTGCCGAATTCATTGGCTTTCGATCCAGATGAAAGCTGGCCTGGGTCACTTAAATTGTGTGTTCTGATTGTTTTGTGCCATTTGTGTCTTTTTTAAAGAAGTGAACACAAAAGGTTCTGAAGCGTCAAGGTTAAATCAGGAAACCAAGGTCGAACAGAGGGATGAAACTGATGATGCCAGTTCAGGTGATGTGAAGACGGAAAAAAATACCTTTATGTTTGATCTCCACTAATCTAACACGGTCAGGCTTCAACGACTGAGACTCTAGAAAATTCAACTTCAATCATGAAAAATTGTTGGTACAAATTTACATTTGTTTGTGTGTTTGTGGACGCGTAAAAGTGGGGGGGAGGAATAACTGCAAGCAAAAAGGCAACACTGTTTTGTAGGGACACCCAGAAA